AGGCATCGAGGTCTGTTCGCAGTAGTAGTAGTAGTAGTAGTAGTAGTAGTAGCATCAGTAGTAGTAGTAGTAGTAGTAGTAGTAGTAGCAGTAGCAGTAGTCGTCGTTGGTGTCGTAGTAATCGTCGTCGTCGTACTGGCAGTAGTTGCATTTTAGGAGTCGTAGGGATGGTAAGAATACGAGTCATTGTAAGACTGACAGCAGCAAGACGAGGAGCAGCAGGAGTAGATTTACCAATGACAGCCCCGGATTGCTTGAACATGTCGCGAGAAGTCTCGCTCTGAACCGGTTTTGGATCAGGCCTGGGAGTCGGCATCCAGCCCCTGTCGTGGTAAGTTTGTGTCAAGCCCACTCGAAGCCAACAGAAATGGCACAGGGGCACTCCAATCTTCAAGGGGCTTCGAGTTAAGAGTGTTCAGGTTTATGATAGGGGGCCAGACAAGGAATGTCGGGTAATTCTAAACCATTCCATTCCTACAGGCTACTTCTCCGATACCCTGCATGCAATCGAACTGCCAAGGCAGCTATGCATGCGGTGAGTTCAAGAATCAGTGGGCCGAGCTGCTCGGGCGGCGATTTGAACGCGGCGAGCCGCTTAAGGACGTCGTCCGAACCCGTCGTCGGCTGGCTTCGTGTGTTTGCACAGCCCCTCTGCACACATGGCAGCCTTCTAGCACAGAATCCTCAAGAGGTTTACGCCCTCGCACAACCCACAAAGGCCCGTTTGATGCTCCAACCGAGGAGCATGCCATGCTCGCTTGCCTCCTAGAGCCGCTAATATAGGGGCCTTAATAATTAAAACAGGGTTTCGGGTTACTATAATTATAATAAGGAACCCCCACAATAGTATAAGGAATTATTTCGGCCCCTGTATTAGATGTGAGGTTTCTTCACATGCGGCAGGGTTCAAAGACGGTCCATGGTCTAGGCCTGCAGGGGTTCTACAGGAAGGATTTTCATCTCAAGCCCGTTCCCACCGCAAAGCCATGAACCCTAAACCTCGAAGCCCTAGATCGTAAGCTCCTAAACCCTACACCCCAAAATCTCCTAAACCTTTAAGCCCTAAACTGTAAACCCCTAAACTCGAAACCCTACACCCCTAAAATCTCCTAGGTTCCGTGGTGCCTGCAACAGCAACCAGACCAGCTTCGAGCAGGCGCTCGCTGCGCGAGAGCTCCCCCGGAGAATACATCTTCCCAGAGAACCCAATACCGCTTAATTCAGGAATATACCTTAAACTATACCATTAATCCCCTATAATTGAAGGTATATTCCTTAATTAAGGGGTATTAGGCTCTCTGGGTTAGGGCTAATGCGGTACGGAGCTTGGTAATAAGGAAGCCTGCACCCTAAGCCCTAAGCCCTAAAAACCCTGAACGTTTATGAATGGGTTCGTACTACGAATCCCCGGGTATTATGTTCCGAAGCCCTATCCGAAGTATTAAGGTTCCCGTATTAGACCCTGAGCAGGGTCTTGCAAGTTTCTTCGGGAGTTGAGTGGGATCCTTCATGTTGTCATTACGGTTTTTAGAGAGCGTTGAAAGGAGGGTTAGAAGCATGGTAAGTGTATGTTAAGTTCTTGGCATCTGTAGCCGGTGATTTTAGCTATAGCTACTTAGGTTAGATTTCTGCTTATATGCACACGTTCGCACACTCCATTCTGCAAGATACCACACCTGTTATGCGCTGGAAGTGGGTTTGGTCTTAGGGACACCAGCTGATGCTGCACGGGACACCCTTGCCACAAATTGCCTGGCCCCTGAAAGACGCCTTGCAAAGATCAGGGCTTTAGGCACTCGGGTGTAGGGGTTTAGGGTTTGATGGTTCAGGGCTGAGTGCTGTGCAGTCCCTGCTGAAAAAACGGGTTTGGGGCCTTTAGGGTTCCAGGGTTTGGTTTCGTGGAAACCCTGGATTTGGGTGGCTGCAGGTCAGCAGACTCTGCTAGAAGCCCTCCAACCCATGTCAGCTCTGACAAGCTTTCCATTGACGGTGCATGAGCGCCCGAAACTCTAAACCCAAACCCAAAACCCCAAAGAACCTGTACATCTCGTTGAGCTTGAATTCGGGCTCTGTAGTAGGATAACTGTAGGCTCAACTGGTGCTCGGGGTGCTAGTTGGTTGCGCTTCGTGCCCACCTTCCCTCTGAGGGCCGCCTTCCCCCTTCTCCTCCTGGTTTTTGAGGAACCGTACAGAATGCCAGCTGCATCCATTCAGAACATATGGGCTTACGTTTGTGGATGAGTGTACGAATAGTGTCGATGTAGTGCTTACAGCGAACGGTTGGGATACAGCTAGACAAGACACAGTTGCAGACCCTCCCTTCCTCCCTCCCTACAACATCGTAAAGCTTTGCGCCACGCCTCTCGGCTCTTGCAGGCATACTGCGACCTGGCAAACCAGTTGGAGACAAGCTGGGAGACACTCAGCTTGCTTCTGTTGGCCGTCACTGGGCCGTCATTCCCCCATCTCTCTGTCTCTCGCTCTATCTCTCCCTCCCTCTCTCTGTCTCTGTCTCGCTTTCTCTCTCTCTCTCTCTCTCTATATATATATATATGTATGTCTGCATATCTATGGACAGACATATACTCTGCTTCTCACTTCATTTTAGTTTGATGGTGTTCGAGGCTGACCAGCACAGGTCCGCAGCCTACCCACCCAGACCTGCGATTCGAGATATCTCATATGATGCTTCAGGGTCAGGTGTTCTCGCATGCACCATGTGCATTTGTGTCTAAGCCGCCTTGATCAACTCAGCCGTAGTTGAGCAGCATCTCAGGAAATACACTCTCTGCCACACTCACGCATCGCAAGTCCTGGCGGCAGAGGAAGGCACTTCAAAACGCATCCACAGGTGTGTAAAAGCTTGAATAAATAGCAATAATGTTCCTTGCTGATGGGGTCACCTATCACACAAAATGAGCCAAATATTCCTCGATAAGACCCTGAACTTGAATATCAAGCCCCTATATATTACTTGACATCCAAAATTATTGGGGGGTGTTCTCTTCTGGCTGGTTGCTGTCAAGGTTCGTGGCTCATTCCGGGTTGATGACTTGCTGGTCCTCTTTGTTCTTGTTGAGTTCTTTAGAACGTGTGTGGAGCATACAGGTACTCGACTTCTCGAAATTTTCCGAAACTCGAAGTAAGCCATCCCAGAGCCTCCAAAACCCCTTAATTTAGGAATATCCTTTAAAATATATTAGGAACCCTTATATGATTTAAGGTATATTCCTTAATTAAGAGGTTTTGGAGTCTCTGGGATTGCTGACTATCATGACTTTTCGCGTCAGGGCTTTTGTTCCAAGATAGCCAGCTGACTCCGGCCTGATTCCGGCGCTTTTTTTGTGGCGCCTAAAGTAAAGCCACATAACTCAAAAAACGCTCCCTAGACCCCTCTATTACAGCCCAAATACCCACAATTAAGGACCATAAGGACTCTTTTAAAGGGCTATTGGGGGGTCTTGGTCTAAACCCACAGAACATTGGAAAACAACTTCCATCAAACGGCTGAGCCTTGAACCTCGGCCTAGGCCCTGCTTCGATCGAAGTACAGAGGGGGTGGTAAGCGTAGAGTTTAGGTGTGTAGGAGCTTGGCATGCTCAGAAGTTGGGGGCTCTGTCACGCCAGGCGTTCTTGCAGGCAAGCCTGCAGCAACAACGGTTTAGGGTGTTAGGGTTTAGGGTCAGCAATCTTGGGTTGTTGATTCGTCTGGGTGCTTTGCAGCATTGCAGGCAAGCAGATGACGCTGCTCTCTGGAAGGCGACAGGAGTGGCGCGGACTCTTGAGGCACACTTTTTCAAAAGTGCCGGAGCCTTTGGGGAGTGAAGCACGCGATTAGCATCAGAGACGTTCTGAAGGTCCATTGCAATGCATAGGTGCAGAGAGCCTGCATCCCGGTGCAAGCGGAAGCACCCGGTATTCGTACGACTTCCATATCATTTGCCATTAACTAGACTAAGATAAGACGGCATTGCTACGGCTGCTCATTCCAAGTCCTGCTTTCGGACGCCTTCGTTTTCTGCAGGATCGAGTGTCTTCTGGATGCCCTCTCATCTGCCAACAAAGAAGCAGCACTTCAGGAATGCATCTCGTGTCTTGGTTTGCACTAAACCCTAAACCCTGAACCCTAAACCCTAAACCCTAAACCCTAAACCCTAAACCCTAAACCCTGAACCCTAAACCCTAAACCCTAAACCCTAAACCGCTGCGCTTC